TGACTCAGTGATGGTAATTTGACATAAACAGTCATTGGTGGGTTTTTTTCAGTTGTGATTAACACAACCATTCTAAAATCATCCAGGAAATACCTTTGTACTTTTTCAAACCAGCATGTAACCTTTGTCATAGCCAGATTTACTGCATTTTCTGTAAACGTGTCCATGTGACATGGATATTGATGCCCATAATTAAAGCTGAGTAAGAGTCAAAAAAGAAGAAAAGAGCCTAAGCTTGCTGTCAGTGAAGTAATGACAAATCTCTACTTAACTTTGGCTGAAGCAGGCCCAGGGGGAAAAAGGTTCATTTCTCAGAGCTCATCTTGAGCAGGCAGTGCTAGGAGTGCACTGAGTAAATCTGTCGTATCACTTAGTTTTTTTTACTAGTATCAGCATACCTATCAAATCCCTTGATGTTTGTGTCATTCTTCTTAATGCACCTGTTCTAAAATGACAAGCAAATATTTTAGACAAATTCTGGTTATCACTCAAATAAAAGAAGAACATACAAGCGCAAGTAAAAAATACCTCAGTCAGTACTTGCCATATTACTTTATTTATATTATGTCGACAGATGAAATTAGATACCAGAAAAGAGATACTGCATCAGACGTTATTACTTATACTCCAACTACCAAGGAAAGATGTTGTCAGTAGCCTTTAGCACTATTTGGAACAATAACACATGGATATTCAGCTTTCAGCGATGTGTATGTGCAGAGTGCAGCTTCTGTCACAGGTCATCTGTTTCTGGAACAGTGTTGGAATCCGAAGGCTGAATGAACACTACAGGAATATTCTCGGACGTCCATCCCTTAGGAGTCCTATTGAAGGATCTCCTGGTAGCGAGAGGGTTTGCAAGGATCATGAATCTGGGATCATTTAGCATCAGTAGATTAAAATCTGGTACCTTGAATTTGACCAGCTTTGATGCTCTCTCAAAACCACCAAAGGGAGTAGCAACTCTGTAGATATTAGAGAAATAAAAGTAAAATGCGATTTAAAAAAAATCTATTTTCTCTTTATCCCAGGACCTGAAAAGGATAGAAGGTATTTTAATGATGGAGATATAGTATAATTTCTTGTTGACATTTTCAAATTTTTGAGGAAAGTATACTCATTATTTTTCTGGCAAATTCTCTTTAAGATGCTGTTTTATTCTCCTTTACATGCATACTTATTTTCAGCCATCTTCAAAGTTACCAATGGATAGAAAAGCCAGGAAAAAAAAAGATGTTGCAAAAAAATCTTGTCATTGGCGATTCATGGTCACTGAACTTATTTGTGGGTGATAAGTTGATAAGTCTGAAAACATAGTTTCACAACACATTCTCTATAGCACGTAATGAGTTTAAGATGTTCTCACCCCATTTTCTGCTATCCCCAGCTGTTTGTTCCTCCTGCTGCACTTTATTTCAGCACCACATTGTTGTGCCAGTAACAATATGTGAGATGTGCAATGATAAACTTGATCACTTAAACGATCTGCATTTTAAAAAAGCCTTTCAAATCAAAGGAGCATTTTAAAATCCAAATTATTTTCAGCAATCTGGTTTATATTGTTACCCTCAAACAACTGTAGCAATTAAAAGTGAGGAGACAATAACATGTAAAGTGAAGCGGAAAGGAACGGCCAAAGACAACAGCCTTTGGAAAGGGGGGGAATGGGTGAGGACTTCTCACACCAGCTTTGTTGCTACAGAAAATGTTTATGTAACTAAACCTTGAAATACAGGCTGAAATTGGCCCATTAGCTACTGCCAGTATTTTTCACGTTACTTAAATGTAAATGTTCCTTCAGATGATAAGCCTGAGAAACCAAAAGATAGGAAATACTAAGCAGGAACTGAATGTTACAGCCATTTACAAGTATTTCAAAGCAACAGTATTTTCAGATGTCTTCCATGGTTCTTTTATATTTGCTGGTTTCTAGGTAGAGAAAAATAGGTGCATTTTCCCTCTCACTTTTTCCAGAATCCTTTGTATAAGCAAAGTTTTGGTTCTGCATACTACATGAACAGAATACTACATGTGCTCTGTATTTTGATCAGCTGTGTAACTTAGCTGGGATATATTCTGGCCAGTAAAGAAGATTGTAAGATTTTTCAACCACACATGAATGCCTGATTTCTGTAAATCTGCATATATAGTGAGAGGTGAAAGTGGATTTCTGCTGAAATGGAATGTCACGAGCCTTTGTAGGCTTTATGAGTTTAGTATGGAGCAACAGATCTGCTAGTGTAGATTTCCAGTGGCTACAGGTATTCTAGCAGAAGAGCAGAGAAATCAACCCCAACAGAAGCTAAAAGAAATCAACTGAAGAGTTGACAAGGCTTTTCAGCAAGACAAGTATAGATGAAGAAACTCTGTAGAGAATTAAATTCACAAAAATAAAGCAAAGAATTCAGAAAAATGAAACTGTGTGATCTAAAAAAAATGCTTCTGCGCTGTCATCACACAGATAATTCACTGAATTTTGGTATGAGCAGCTTTTGACAGAAGGGCTAATGTTAACTCCAAAGGTCAATCCATACAAGATAAAAAAAAGTCTGGAAAGTTCTGGGCATGCACATGTGAGCAGAAAAGAGGCCTGCTTTGGATTAAGCTCTAAAACTCTTTCTCAAATGAGTATAAGACTAGATTTTGCTGCAGCAGCCAGCCCATGCATTAAGCTGTTGTGGTCAAAAGGAATTCTTTATACAAAGTGCCTGTTGATGCCAAGCGTTTCTTGTGAAACCGTCTTCTAGGTCACAGTGTCAAATTGTATACCATATGATACTGATTAAAATTGCTTGGTAATTGGTACAGAGCGAGTGTAGTGATCTACGTCCTACAGGATGATAAAGATTGTTTTAATTGCTGCTCCAATTAAGATATACATTCTCACGTTGTTGTAATATTTAGTTCTCATCAACAGGTAAATTAAAGGGATGGTCAATATGAATAGAACAATAATAGCTGTATTAAAAAAACAATTTTATAGTGTAAAACTTTGTTTTTGGAATTTTTTTGCACGTAAATACAGACTATTTCTGTAGGTAATACAAATAGGATGATGTTTTATGAAAATTCAAACAGCTTTTGTGTGAACAAAAACAAATAATTCCTATGCAAAGCCTGGCCTCAGAGAATTATGTATTCCTGCATGCTTTGCAGAAGCACATGATAATCAACATAAAGGAGAGTACAATAATTGGCTAATAGATGTTAATTTTCCTTTACTGCAGCACTATATATTCTGAGAGCAATGATTTGTCTGATGACATGGTGTTGTAATGACCTGTGTTGTGTGCAGATCAATTAGAGCTGATCAGCACTTGAGTGCTGATTCATTGTATAGGAGCCCAAAACTCATGTCTAAAAAATTACACTAGTGATTGCTCACAGTAAGGACAGAAAACCTAGTTCGGAGCCAGAGGAAGTGGCACCAGGAAGTGTAAGAAGATTTATAATATTCACTTTGCATATTCCTAAAAAGTAGATACATGATTTAACAGTATGAGACACAACCATGTTTATTTTTAACTGTTATTTTAGCAGGGCTTCTTGTATTTTTTAGTCTTTCTTGTTGAGCATTGTATTGCGTCAAGATGGGAGACTACTTGCAGTTGAATATTTGGGGAAGTTTGAAGAAATGTTAGAACGGTATTGGATTAGCACCTTCAGTTACCTCATTCCCAAAATGTACCCATTCCCAAAATTCCTCATACCACATTCCATACCAAATTCCTCATACCACATTCCCAAAATGTGACTTTCGCATTTAAAAATGTGACTGTCAGTCCCAGAACGTTCTGCTTATTGTTATTTCTCTCCGAAAACAAAAATATAAGAGCAGAGAACCTGACCCTGCAAAATGCTCAGAGCTTATTGGTAGCTTAATGCAAGAGCAAGTGCCAATTTCTCAAATGTATTTCGGTGCTAAAGAACTGCCTAAGCACCCAGTTTCCACTAATCTCACATCAGTCGGAGTTAGGCACCCAAAATTCCTGTGAGGGTCTGGATCTCAGGATTTTTACAGTAGGGTTCAGAATTCATTAATCAGTAAAATAGAGCCCAGTCCAGATAGACTGGATTCCTTCCTAGTGTTGAAACAGTAGTCTTTGCAAAGTGAGAAAGCTGAGCAAGTATCCAGTAAGAGAGGCAGAACCAGTCGGACTTGCTTGTCTTATGTGAGCAAGACGTAGTGCTTTGTATGTCACCCTTAATCCTACCTTTGGCATTTTCTCCAGCTCCAGGAAAGCAGATGGAATAAAGGTACTAAATTAATTAATATTACAGACTCCTCAACAAATGTGGATTCGTGCCGTCTTTCCTACAGGTATTGACTAGATGGTTCCACACCAGTAAAAAAGCCAAGAAATTTTTCCACCAGTAAAAGGCTCTTCAACCCTAATGGGAATTAACTTCCAAGAGAAATCAGATGGCGTGGCCCTGTCTTGCAGCATTTCCCCTGTAGCACAGGTTCCTTTTCACTCAGGAGGAGGAAAGCAGTAGCCTTGTCTGAAGAGTCTGTTACAGAGATCCTCAGAATCCAGTTTCTCTGATCATATGCTCTGTCTAGTGCTATCTCCTGTTTAACCATTGCTGGCTGTCTCACAGAAAGCCCTGCCTCCCTCCGAAGGCAAATGCTCTTGATATTTGCTTCCCCCACTTCTTCCTCCATAGACCTGCCAACGCTGTCTGTTCCCTGCAATGTAAAATGCCTACTAGACGTGGACTGGTACCTCTGAATTCCTTGGATCTGATTCTGCTTCCACTGAAGTTAATGATGAAACTTGCGCTGATACATGATCTTGAGTGGGCTCTTCATTGCTGGCAGTAGAAACAAAAATCTGAACGCTGTGTGGTCCTGAATATCCTAGTAAGTCATCCTTGTGTGGGTGTATTCCAGCACATCAGGCATCCCTAGCTACTAAAGTCTTACTGCATTTATAGTTTGTCCAGGAGCAAGAGAAGCTGAAAGGAACTGGAACCTGGCTTCCTTTTTAGCAGATAGCACAGAAAGAACTGAGAAGAACCTCAGGCGTTTCCTTTGGGAGTTCTACACATCACACTGTTAACCCCTTCCCCCCGCCCCACCATCTCCCGGATTAATGGTGACTGAACCAGTGTTTTGCAGAAGTATAAACATAGTGGTACTTTGCTGAATGACAAAGCATGATAGCCTTGATTAATTCTGGCGCTGATAACAAAATGGTGTCATTATATCACACTTCTGTGGCTTAATACGCTGTCATTTGCTTTTTCTCCAAGACTGCAATTAAAGAAATCAATGGTGCTGTGACTTAGATGCACAGAATGACTTAGTGAGTTCTAGGCATACAAGTCCCAGAGGTACCTCATTCTATACCCAAAGCCCATAGGCTGCTAAATTCCTGAGGTGCCAATGTTTTCCTTGTGCAGGCGCTCGGATCTGCCATTGTCTTATCCGTGTTTGCATCTTACACCAAAGCTTGTCTGTGGTTACCTAATTAATAATCTTTTGCCTAAACTTCCACCTGTGAAAACACGCATAACGTGCTACTGCAACAAGCTTTGAGCAAAACAGCATTGTGGCGCTTATATTCAAAAACAGTGGCTAATAGTGTTGAACCTCAGTGTCTAATAATCATAGGTAGGTGACTAGAGCAGTTTTGCAAGAGATTTGGGTTCTCTTCAGTCTGAGACTATCACTTACTTTGTTTGAGGCGTTAGGTCTGCTTTGTAGGAATGGACGTAACTGCTTACCTATAATAATTCTAGGGGGAATGAAGGCCTTTGTATTGAAGAAAAAAAGCTACGCAAAATTACAGAATTAATTGGGTCAAACAGAGTATGACTCTTAGTATGGACATCAGAGGATACAACTAGTAGTTGAGAGATGCAGGTTCTGTTTTCTGCTCCTAAATCAGCTTACTTCATTTACTGTAAGCAATAATTTAAAAAAACGCATGAAAAGGCCTGAGAATTCAAATGAAGGCCCAGGCTTCTCTCTCCCCAAGCGAGCTTCGTAATTGCTTAGCTAAGGAGAGAGGATGTTTACTCCCCGTGGCCCAGAGAGGTTTTCTGTTTTCTGTGCACTGTTTCAGGTCTTAATAAGATGAGGCTATCCCCACCTCTTCTGTGGAAGAGCCAAGAACCAGGTTGTTTTACTTCTCCTCAGGGTTTGACATTCCCGAAGAAATAAAACCCAACCTAGCTACATCCTAGGAAAATGCTCTTGCCAAATAAATGAACCTTATTCTCAGTAAACGTCTTAAAAGGATACCTGTGACCCCTGCTCCATTTCAGGAAAGGAAGTCCTTAATGTAGCCCTGATCTAAGATAGGCAGCCAGAATTAGATGCTGATGATCTTGAACAAAGAGAGGAATTTAAGTCACGTGTAGTCTTCTCTTTTGGCTAGCTTGGCATGTTCAGCATATTGCCTGTTTTGAATCCCATGATAACACACCCCACTCTCCTGTGCAGTTTTAGGAATGTAGGCACTTAACTCAGGGCTGTGAAATCCTAAGGGCTACTATCTTGGAGGTTCAGTGTTGCAAATCCTTGCTTTCTTTTTCAATCTAGTCCTTCTTGCTGAAAAGCATAAATCTAAATGTATTGTGTGTATCAAGCAGCTTTTCCAGGTGTACCAGCCATTCTTTTACTTCATTTTTGTTTCAAAGGTGGTTTTTTTCAGTGAGAAGGTGGGCACTGGTTTTATTTAAAGTATCGTGTATTACATCTCTGTGCTTTGCATTTTGAATTTACTGGTTTCACAGTCTGGACCTGAATTTAAGTGCCTAGTTCTGTTTTTTTTATGGCAGTTATGAGGGAGACTATCAAACCTTCCCTTGTATAAACAGACATATGTGCAAGATATGTGGACCGTGATGAGCCGCAGTTCTGCCATGTCATGCATAGAAAATGCTCACAGAAAGACATCTGAACAGTTAGTTTTGTGAAGAGGGCAACTGATAGAATCTGGCACCACAAAGCAGCTAAAAATCGACAAAGAAGCCATCAGATACCATTAACATCTTAAGACACATATCTCTCTTATTTGGGGCCTGCGTGTTACTTTTGATCTTTCCTTTCACAGTAAGGACTGGCATACTCAACGTTCAATCTCTTGACTGATTCTGTCTCTGTTTCTATGTATATTTATCTTCAACTTTTTTGTGATTACAAAAGCCCTAGTACATAAACTGTACTGTTGCTGTTCCAGTTTTAGCAGCTGTGGCCACATCTCTCTGATATGTATTTGTTATTTTGTTTTCTGAGCAGAATGTGCCACACAGACTTAATTATTAACATAGTGATGTATGTTGCTGTTGGGACGTTAGAATTCGTGTAGTGTCTGCGGTGCCAATTTTGGTGTTGAATAGTGGAGTTTTTTCTCCTTGCACTCACAGTTGAGGCCCACCTCTGCTACAGAACACAAGTGCTATTTGTGGGTTTTTTCTCTAAGTTTATATTGCTGTAAACTATTTTCTTTTTCAGTAGATTGCCACCTGGTGTTTTGGGGAAGGGTTTTGGTTTGGCTGAGCTGTCTGGATCTCTCCAAGGGCCGTTTAAGGAAAAATTGGCTGTGATTTCAGTAAATAAAGATAACCGTGCATGGTATGAATGAAAGCAAAAGACTTAAGCAAGGGCATGTTTTAAAACTTCCAAAATAGCTGCAAAACCCAACAAATGTCAATATATGTCAAGAAGTTCCACTGAAAGCCTCAGTGTACTAGTTACTATTATAAATAACTTCTCACTCAGATCCCCCTCTGCTCCAAATACAGCACTTTTTATCTGGTAGTTGCTTTATTAATTTTGGTTACTCTCTTTTCCTGCTTTTGAAGTGATATCTATTAATTTGTTATCAAAAGTTGTAGACGATAGTAGGAAACGTTAAGTAGGATAAAATATGAAAGCTGCTAACTTCTAGATGCGAGGGACTGGTTGATAAAAGCTCCTTAAGCTGTCATTCCCTAAAAAACAAGTTTGTCACATGTGAGTTGTGTGCAGTATACAGTTTACAAGCCAGATTTTAACTGAAAGTCTGCCTAATAGGGCTTATGAGTTCATGATCTGGCACCTGCCAAAGTCAACAGAAATACTGAAGAGGGTTTGAAGCATTGCTGTATCTTGTGTTTCCCATTTATTGGATACACTGGATTCTCTTACTTTCCTTTTTTTCTTTCAATATTTCAATACAATATTCATCTTACATTCTTGGTTCTAGAGCTTAATTTGTACTGTACGGAGAGACTATTTTCCGTCTTAAAGCCCTCCTGTGCTTTTTGTAATCTGGGCATGTGTTCGTGTTTATGCATCTGCTTGCAAACACAGGTGGTTGTTTGTTTGTTGGTTTGTTTGTTTTTGCATCTGAGGGAAACATTCCATTTCATAGTAATTCTTCTCTGCACTTTTCAGAATTACCTGTTAAAGCTTCTGTAGTCAGGCAGGTCTGGCTTTGCTTCAGGTTGAAAGAGTTTCGGATACAAAGCTTCCAATAGCTCTGGATCATCTCTAATGGCCTCTATCCAGGGAGACTGATAGTACTTTGGCACAGAAGTAGTGTTGAACTTTTCAGGAGGAATTTCTTTCAGTGGTCCAGAATATCCTACAAGGAGATCAAGGCAAAATCATTGCAATAATACGTTGTATTTCCTGCTTCCTTACCACCATCCTATGTAAATAGGAAGTAATATACGACCATTTTGCAGTAAGGTAAACTGAACGATTGAATCAAGTGGCTTGCCCAAAGCTACACAAATGGAAAGCTGGCGGAGGGGTATTTATAGCCTTTTAGATAACCACTCCAAAGTATTTCACTCTTCTCTGAGGCTAAAGATAGTATATTTTAGTTGTATTTAAGTTTGTTTCTACCATAATAATTATCTGTTTGAAACCAAAGTAGATCTACACAGCCCTTGGGCCGAATTAACAAAAGGAATTTAAAAACAGCCTTTTGGCTAACAGTAAGATAATTCTATAGTCTTTGGGTGAAATTTTCTAAAAGCATTAAAAAGATTTAGGATCACAGCCATTATAACTGAGTTTTTATCTCTGCCTCTGTTAGATGCTTTAGAATGTCCAACTTAACCTTTTCTCTCGACCTTTCATCCTCTAAAAAAATGAAGAATCCTTTTTTTCTCTGCATAGTCATCTGAGGGTCAGGGTCCAATCAGAATTTTACTAGGCAAGTAAATTTCATATTCAGTGTGTTTTCTTCTAAAGCCAAGTACAATACGGCAGGAATAAATATTGGGGGAAGAAAACAGACCTTAATGTACAATTTGAAGTATTAAAATGAGCAGAGTATTGTCCTATATGAGTTATATTATTTATTTGAAAAATAAGGGAAATCTCTTCCTCCCTTTCAACCTTGCTGTGTATCTAGTTCTTTAAATTAGCCCTATTTCCTTATATAAGTTTAAAAACCCCACTGTGCTTTAAAACCTACTGCTTTTGCCAGAACTGAGACAAATACAAGCTGCCTACAAGAAGGTCAAAGATTTCTTTCATGTCTTAGCAATGCAAGTAGATTACTTCTTTTCTCATTGTATTCGGTCTGTGGATGCACAGAGTCTTCGCAGTCACTAACAGAGTAGCACTGACCTAGTTTACATAGCCTGGAAAAGGTCTGCACAAAACATGCATTGAATAATTCTAAACAAAGAATGGATTTGTAAAAACCACAGTCTCCTCATGGATAATTCATAAACAGGAAGAAGGTCTATATCACTGAATAAATGAATTAAAACAAATTAGCCTTCTCTGCTCTTTAAAGAATACAAAATAAGGCCTTCCTGTAGTTCACTGCTTTAAATAAAGACAACAATACCCTCACAGTTAAGGACTTAAATAATGCAGAGCCGTCCATACAGCCAGAGGCAAATTCCCTTCTCAGTTACTCCTCTGTAAAGGATTCTAGCACAACTTGCAGTGACTTCAAATTTACTGCAATGGGTAACTTCCAGACAGTTGAAAAGTTTGTTGCAGATTAGAAACTAAGATTTGGTGAAGACAAATCAGAATATTAATTTGATTTAGGTCTGAGGCTCTTTTTCACAATGTTCACTCAGAAGACCCAACTACTTCTTACCTTAACCAGACCAATAAATAGAGGAGCAGTCTCTCTAGATATTGATGTGTTTTAAATTTGGGGAAAAGTAGTGCAAAAAGCATATCTTTGAAAGGCAAATCTTTGAAAATGAACAGAAGCAACTAAACTGCAGTGTCTTACATTTCTGTAGGAGGTTAAGATTAGTTCTTACCTGACTCAGTTTATAAACTGAGTGGAAAATAACTGTTAACTCCATCAACAAATTCCTGTTAATGATACTATTGTATAAAGAGCTCCTTTCTGTGCTGCAAAATGCGTACTAACTCTATTGTATGTCCAAAAACTCATAAATTACCTGGGGCAATGTTTTCAGGATGTGGTGGGCTCCGGGGATCAGGTGTATTAGGAGGTGTCATTGGGGCATGCTGGGAAATGCCTTCAACACTGAGGCCATCCATTTTAACACTCTGTATGGGCTCGCCACGCTGTATTCAAATAGAAATAGATACCACTAGCAACACAGACAAACATAGAGATCCTCAATGATTCTCTGTTGAGAGATGGAGTATTAGTCCAATTTACAGGCCAGGTGTAAGACCCAGGATATGCTGTCCAGAGGCATACTGTCCTGCTGCTTGGTACCCTAGATACCATTGCATCTATCTGTTTGCTAGATACCATTACTGAGGTTTCTGGTTGTTAGCTGGAAGATGGAACAGTTTCACAACTCTCCTACTCTGATTATGTAAGCAAAAGTGAATAATTTATCCGTGTTCAGAATGGTATCCCAGTACAATTTAAATGTCTGTATCACAAGAGCGTGAATGATTGATTCAAAGGGTTGTGGGTGTTGGGAACTGGATCAGCAAAACTCCTGAAGGCTCATACAATCCAGTTGAATTATATGACCTTTTTCTAAGTTTGTGACCCATTGACTGAGGGGAAAAATACATTAATATGCAGTCTACTAGAAGAGTTCATCCATACTGCTGCCTGCTCTGGTCATCGCAATACCTGCCTGTGTTCACAGGCTCACACCTGTAGCTCACAGCTAACAGTAGATCTGGTCACATTGACAGGAGGCCAGTGATGTGTGGCCCTCTGGTCGCTAGACACTAGAAACTGTGTGACGTGCCAGACTGGGCACCCTTGCTACCTGAGGACCCAAGAAATCTGGCAGGTTTGAGCAGTCTGTGTTTCAAAGCACTGATTCTTCAAAGCTTTTCTTCCTATGTCCGTTGAAAATTCACTGCGTTGGTCAGACTGCTTTTGTTTGGGGTTTTCTTTTCCTTTATTTATAAAAGAAATAACAACTCCAGTGCAGGCCACTTTCTGGAGATTAATGATAGGCTGTTATTTTCCACCCTCCTAGCAGGTCATCAGTTCTAAGGAAGCATCTAAAGGCTTAATCATTGTTGCTTAAATATAGAATCGGAGTCTCATAAGAAGTCAGTGTCTTATTTTAGCTATGACACATAGTCTAAAAGTAATTTAAATACGGATGGTTTTAAAGTAAAAATTTCTTAAAGTAGGAAAGCAAACAAGTAGTACTTGTTTAAACTTGAAACAAAAAAAGATCAAGGCATTATGTTTTGGACCATCCTGAGGTATGTTAGAAAGATTATTTCAGTTGTGGTGGCCAGAATCATAAAGATGATGAAGACAACACCAGTGATGGCTAAATAGGCGTTTAAGGGAGGGGAACAGAAACCAAAGAGGCATCATTTCTTCCTTTTACTCATGTCAGAATGTCATGCTGACTGTACGACGTGCATACTCTGTACGTTTTTCTGGAACATAACAGGGAAGAAGTCGATTAGAGAGGAACTATTCTGTGTCAAATTCTGTAGCAAAAGCACAGAAATGGCTACAGAAATTCTAGTGAGATTAACGATATTGTGTTAGGAATTAACTTCATCTGTGCAGTTTCTAATGCTCAGTAGAGTGAAAGGTAGTGTGCAGTAGCAGACGGAGGAGCTCTTGACTGAATGTTTCCCTCCAGAACTGGTAGTTAAAAACTTAGAATTTTAGGGCTGCTTTTGAGTTTACTGGTATTTACAGATTTAAATAAGCCAAACTGTTGCATCTTGCTCAAGACTGAAAATCTCAACCCCCCAACTGCAGCTAAAGGTAAATGTGTTTACTTTTACAGCCAACAAATCATAGAGAATTCCTTCTTTAAGAATGGAACCAAAATAATATTTTAGAGATTTCAGCTGTGATACTGTAAATGTGGAAGTCGGCTCTAGTAATAGCCTCTCTGACTGTTGTAAGATCCCTCAACATTGTGATTATCATGGACAATGGTAGACTAGAGATGGCTCTCTTACTCTGTGCTACTGGAGCCTCCTTCTGAGGTGCAACTAGACAAAAGGTTTCCTTAGAGTGATGAATTACACTCTGTCTGTGTTTCTGATTAATTACGAGTACGTGTGCATACCACGCGCGCCTGCATGTGTATATGTGTGTTTTCATTAGTAATACTTGACACACAATCTGAGGAAACCGTTCAACGCCTTGCTGTTCTGTGTAATGCATTACTCATCTCCTAGTTGTACCAATACAAACTTCAGATTACATCGCAACAATATACTATGTGTGTGGTCACTGTTTTTATTATCGTAAGTGAAGTTTTCAATTAAAGAAAAATTCAGTTGAGGTCTTTCTTCTGTGGATTCTGTAGGAGGTGGGTACTTACACACATGTAGCGTTGCCTCAAGTTAACTTTAAAAGATTCTGTGGAAAGGGAATTTCTGATTCGCAAGACATATCTTCTAGGTTAATTAATAATAATTAACCTTTGCAGCACTTACATATTTCTCTTCCTCTTCAAAGCAGCTGAAAAGTACTGGGACTAATTCTGCTCCTTAGTCACATACTGTCACATTTGAAATCAGTGGGGATGCATACATACAATTGAGAAGCAGAATCTAGTACAATAAGGACTTGAAATTGCACTGGAATTAAAGGGGCCATTTATATGCTGAATTAGGTTGGGCACAGAGTATTCGTGCTCACATAATTAAACCTTGTAGCACATTTGAGAGCTAGGTAAAATTTATGATTGTTTTTGTCCCTATTTTCAGAGATTAAGCAAAAGTAAGTAAGTATTTTGAAAAAATCACAGATGAGGCAAATGTCAGGTGCATTTAGTTCCCAAGGTATTGCTCATGCTTTAACCCAGTTCCTGAGGGATTACTTCAAAGAGCACTCTCTCCGTGACAAGCTTCATCCTTTATCTCTTCATTGAGACAGTCAGGACAGGAGTGTATTAGTGCCAGTTGCGAGAGTCACTTTGCTGCCTGGGAAACACTTTGCGATCACTAACCTATTTTAAAAAAATAGTGGTTACATGAAACAGACTACTGTTTCATCCAACCTTTTGAATATCAGCAACTAGTTAATTTTCAGTAGTCAATCAGTCAGTTGCTACAGGATAAGTACTATAGATCACTAATAACCTGAGTCAGATTTGAATGAGAATGGTTGGAATCTGAGGTCCTTAATTGCTATGATCTTCAGATTTTTGATTTTTTTGTAGGAATCCCAAAAGATACAGAAGGCTAACTTCATATTAGCCTCATTCTAGTACAGGCTTTTTCTGTTATTCTTCCTGAAGCTACAGACAAATTATGCACAATATGTTTCATGAGCACCAAAGGAATCCCAAGCCAGTCTCACTGTGTTTTATTAAGAAGTTACTGTAAAATACTTACATTTCTTGGCTTGTTTGCTACGTAATGATAATTTTCATATGTGTATTTGTCAGATCTCCGTTGACGTCTCTTAAAGAGTCTTGCGCCTCTATTGCTGAGTGTTGATAGTTCCTCTACCATGATATCTCTCGGAGTGCTGACCTTTTTTCCAAGGTCTAAGCTGGGTGAGACTGCAATAGAATGGATTAATGCGTGCTTGTTCTCTTAAATTCTTATTATTGCACACCCTACACCTGAAATCCAACAGCATATCAATGCATACATATCTAACACATACCATAACTTCATACAGTGTTAGTGAAATTAGTCATTCTTCCAAAATTTTGGAGCACTGTGTTGAACAGGACAGAGCTGATTTCTGAAGATGTGAAGTACCTCGTGCTCCTAATTTATTTCAGTTGAATGGTACTCAGCTGTTCTGAAAATCAGGTCTGTAATGTCCTTCCCACTGTGTCCTAATAGTTAGTAAAACCTTGCTTCTGCTGAAATCAGTACCAAAAATCCAGCTGATCTCTGTGTTACCAGATCAAACCTTTAATTAACTTTATGGGTCCTGGATTGGACAGAGGAAGAAGGTAGTTTTTAAACATGTGTACCTGTTTCTTATTGCTTATAATTGTTTTCTGTTCGATGATTCATTCATATTCTGCTTTCTTTTGAAATCCAGGGCATGCTTGTACTTTAAGAAAAGTTTATGTTTGAAATTCTCTACTAAATAATTTTTTAAAATTATTTTTAAAGAGACCTTCAGAATAAAGCTCAAGGTTATGAAAATGGGAGACCTAACAAAGCTTATATACTTAAAATATACTTCTAGGAATTCTTCTCCTCTTTACATCATTATGAACAATTGTGGTCTATTTTTCCTGCAATATATTTAGAAGTTTTTTTTTCTTTAATTCTCTCTAAGAGGAAAGCTGCAAGCAAGTCTTTTCAAACTTTACAGCTACCAGAAACGGAATTACTAGATGCAATGCAATGTTTCTTTGTTCACTGCTTGGGAAAAACTACTTATTTGTTTTTAGTGGAGTGACCTTGTAGGGGCTTTGAAAGTGAAGATGCACAAGCAGGGAGAGGAAGAGATCAGTTGGGACTGTAGATGGAGAACTCTGAATATCAGAAACTTTACTGGTCATCTGTGTTGAAATGTTCTGGAAACTGGGGTGCTGGTGGCCAAGAGCAAGCTGATGCTAAGTAACTGAACTCTCTCACTAGATGTCCTCAACCTATAGATAAAGCTAGGACCCTAGAATACAGTAACTTCAACATTGAACAAGCTATTTTGTACTAATTTCTTTCTGCTAAGAACGTGGTAGAGTTTAACAAATATAGCAATAACTGGAACACATAGAAAAAGAAATTTTAAGATGGAATATTTTCCTACTGCTGCTTATATTTATATTTATCATTTTCTTACTTGGAATTATTCTCCTCAGTTATTCATAAACTTCAGGAAGAAAAATAGGAAGACACAGCATACTTTGAGGATTACAGCAGTGGTTCAGTATGTTTCTTTGGTCCAACTTCAAAGTGACTTTCTGATATTTGCATAATAATAAGCTTTTCTATTTTTTAGACGTTTTCATAAGCTGTAGGACTTAAAATTATTGACTTCTTGCAATGCATTAAAATTAAATGAAAGAAAATTGTATGTAAGATATTGTATCTTACTTCCAGGGTAAGCACACAGGAAGCCCATTTTAGAATTAACATTACAAATTAATGAGCCGGAGAAAGCACCTGATGTCAAAGTTAATATTACATATACAAAAAAAAAAAGGATTTTATTTTTATTTTTGGAGTTTCATTTTGAGTACATGGCATAAAACTATCTCCTGGTAACTTTATTTTGGAAAAAGATTGTGAATTGCTGACGTTTGGGAAAACGTGATTGGGATAGGCCCGTTAAATATTGAGCCCAAACTCTATAGCCTGAGTTTTCCACTTAGAAAATCAAAACAAGTTTGCAGGCCCTGGACTACATCATTGTTGATCCACTTCTATTGGTACTGATTTCAATTGAATGTTTGCAGTAGATTTAACTGGAGCAAGATCAAGCCAACTATATCATGAGCAGGAGCATGCACTTCTGCTTTAAAAATAGTATGAGCAAAGAGTCCTAACACCCCCCTGTTATTTAAGAGGTAACTACAAAACAAAGAGTACTTAACATGGAAGAAAATGACTCAGCTTGTCCAATGCCATATCAGTGCCAGATAGTGGTGGGTTTTTGGCTCTGTGGTTGAGATAAGTGCACTAGTTATTGGCCTGCAGCCTGAAGTTTTGACCCACAACTCTTATTTTGATACTCTTAATTTCTCAAGATTACTGCAAGGGTATGGACTATTGGATGGGTTTATATTAGTAAGAGGTAAGCAATTTACCCTTCAGATCAGCAACATTTTCATGTAGAGAAAACTTCCCTTCGTTGTCCACAAGGTAGGCAGTATGTAAATACTGTGAGACTGAGGTAGCAAGGTGACTGAGTATCTCTGTCCAGACCACTTATATTCTTCTGGGCCATGCTGAATGTTAACTATTTTGGGCCTTGCTGTTACTGTTCTTGTAAATGTTAACGGAGCTAGGCTCCAAGGTGCTTTGTAACCCATAGTTGTGTACTATGTGTATCTAGGCAGCATTCCAGAAACATAGGTGTGAAGTTCCTTTGAATCCCCTGTCAACTAAAATTGTATCTGCTGCCTAGTTTTATGATGTGTATGGGGATTGTTGCAGTGTCTGTGCAGAAAAGGTGATGAAGAATGAGAAAAGGAGGATATTTAGAGAATGATAAAAAGAACATACCCAAATGCACCAGAAAAAAAAAATCATAAATGGACTCTGTAAATTAATACTGGAGATTTTTTCCATAGTTTAATCCCAATCTTAACCTTTTCTTTATTTGTTCCTGCCGAGTCCTCCCTGTCCCGCACTTAAAATCATAACAGATTTCATTTAATATTTTTCGCTTATGTATTTCCTCCTGCGTTCACCCCTTAATCCCCCTTTAATCCTCCAGTTTACAGTCTTCTAAATATCTTCATCTGGATTATGTATTTAATAATGAATATCAGATAGTATATGTTTGTCATAGTATCAGAAATAAGAATTTGTAACTCCATTATAAAAGATAGTTAATCAAGTAGCTACTGAAGAATGCATTTAAGATATAATGCAGAATTGTGCATGAGATTTAAGTAAAATTGAAGGCTAACCTGATGAAATTCAAAGGTTTCCTTAAACATATATGTGTAAATATATGTGTGTATGTGTATATATATATGTATGTATATGTATTTATGTATGTGTGTATATATATCTCTACCAACTAGGCTCAGAAATGCCATGATTAGTCCAAGTCTGCCAGTTAAAAACCAAGGGATTGAGAAAATAGCTACATTCCCCGTGTTGATTTAGTACTGCAGGCTCTGTCCTGAGAGCATAAGAAGGTTAACAATTAGTGTCTTTTATTGCAGCATTTTATGACGCATAGAATTTCATTAAAACACAAAGTCATGTCCCCCAAGCCAGCAGGGAGCTGCTGACTTTCAATCATTACCAACCTAGCCCAGATGTGAGATACTGATAAAGACTTTACCAACTCCATATCTTATCCACAACTGTTTCTATTATGAATATCTTTTATAAAGAGTTTGAGTTTCACTGTTTATTTGAAAGTATTATAATAAAAAGGGGTCTAGAATAAAAAGGCAGAAGGTATGCTTTTTGTGCATCTTTCCAAGCCACAGGGACTTGCACTACAGCAAAAAATATCTTCTGTTACTGTTTACCACTGTTAACAGAGGAGAGTCTCACAGGTCTGTGAGACTGGGGAGGTTCTTTTCTGGCTGAAACAGTACGCTTAGTTTTTAGGTGATTTCCACTTGCAGGACCTTCATTACTAGTAGTGGTGCAAAACCTAGAAAGACAGCAGCTCACCTTCCGGATCTCAGGTTAAGGTTGCTGAATTAACAAATAGCGGGAAAATAAAATGTCAAAAATTGAGAGAGCTGAATTTAGTGATTAAAAAACTAGATTTGTACCTGATTTTGCCAAGAATATATTTTTTTTCTTCAGATGCCATCCCAAAGAACTGGCATATACTTTGTCTAATTATGGCTTTGGTTGTCCTACTTCTTCACTGATTTCACTGAGCTTGTACAGCTATACATTTCAGACTCTTTGACAGTACACCCATTTCATGAAATTTCTTTTTTTTTTTTTAACATTTAAATAACCCAGACATCCAAAGAAGATGCAGAAATAGAACATACACTTAAAGGTTTAACGTTGCCCTCAGTGGCCACACATCGCAGCATATCTTGTAGAACAAGCTGTCATACCTACGTGTATGAATCTAAACTTGACAGCAGGTCTGATAATACATAAATAATAAAAGGGCTGATTATGTGAGGCAAATGCCAAACATTAACACAGATTCTCCAATAACTCCAGTGATTTCCAGGGCTGTATGGTAGATTTATTAGTATTGCTATGAATAGAAGGAACGTTTACCATGTGAAGTGCCTGGTACTAAACAAACATACGAAAGACAGTTTCCCTGCCCTGAAGAGCTTACAGACTAATTCAGACACATGTATTACTTAGGATTACAATACAAAAAACCACAGAGCTGTAAAGAGATCAGTAAGGGCAGACTGGTTTGTAAACTAGGTATGTGTTCAGTGGAGAGTGGAAGGAAGGAAAGGGTATTTGCTTAAATTATCTCTAGTTGCTGAAATTATTTCCTTAGAGAGAATGATTTTGAGTGTTTTAGAAGAAAGCTTTTTAAAACATAATTGTTAACATTGCTCCTAATATGCAGCCCGATTCTGTTTTCACTGAGAAAACATCCCAGAAAATTTTTTTTGTGGAAATATTAGAAGGAGTAGGTCCAGACATTTGAATTTGTAGCTTCTTCTTCTAAATTCCTATGTCTCTGCTTCTACTCTTCCTGTAATCAGATTGGTCAATGACTGGGTCCAGACCCATCCCCAAATTCTTGGGAGCAAAACACCACGAGCAAGATACTGGAATTTAACATTCAATGTCTTATGTGAGGCATATGATTTTCATAAATGCTAAATATTAATGGAGCGGCCTGTGTTTTCAGTGAAACTTGTCAGATGCTTAGCACTTTTGAAAAACTGAGCCCTTTATATAGATCACAAAAAAGGCTTCATGGGGATGTAGGATTGGAAGGGTCTCCAAAGGCATCCAGTGCATACCTAATGAAAGCTAAGCAGACTTGTGTTCCCAGCTGAGTTCGTTATTTCTGAAAGTCTCACACTTGAAGCCTAATTTTAAGAACCTGTTTCTGAAAATCGAGCTTCCATTTCATAAGTATCTGCATTTTCATCGGTGCAACAATGCAAGAGTAAAATTTCTGCATACAAGATTCAGTGGTGCCTGTGCATTAGAGAGAATTGCCAAATGCTAGTAAAATTTGTTAGTTGCAAAGATTAATTTTTAGAGGGAGGAAGAGAGCTGTAAACAGTTGTTTGGAATATTGTAATCATTCTATAAAAAAGCAAAGTGAAACAGCAAAAAAGAAGATGCAGACAGCTCAGCATGTTTCTTATGTGATAGCCTTTTCAAATGGAATGAAGTCATGTTATTAACCCCAAATAATATTCTGAAAGGCTATCCTAGCAGAATGTACATCAGCTGTTAGATTACTTCATTCCTCCACAGCAGTTGTTCATCTGAAAATAGCTTTCACATGAAAAGAGGCAACTACAAAAGGATTAGTTACCATAGGCAGCATGATACTCCCACAAGATTATTTATGGCAGAACACCCAGAGACAAAGCTGTAAGAGAATTAAACTCTATGATCAAAAAATATATATTAAGGAGGGCTAGAGGATATCGAATATACAGTAAGTTGGTTTTAGATCTATACCATTTCTGTGTATTTCATCCATAATGGCTGATGCTTGTTGTTTCCTCTCTTTGACCATGGCAGAATGTGATAACATTGTGATTTTCTGATAGGATTTTCCTTGCTGAAAAAAAACAACACATTTTTACATTGTTGAGCCAGCTTGCACAATTCAGCCAACTTTTATTTCTGATATGATATTCAGAATGGCTGAATAGTGAATTTAGTTACTTCTAATTTAGGAATACTGAGTTCTTAATTGTGCAGAATGCACTAGCAGTTGTTGCTTGCAGACCCATGATGAGACATGAGCTAATGGATAGAAAGTCCCAAGGACTATAGAAAGTCCCCTATAGCCAACTTTGTTGGCTATATAAACTGTGTAGCAAGATCAGTGGCAGTGGTCTAGGCCTTCTCACATCTAAACATTGTATTGAAAGATGTAAATTCATAACTAATTTTTAATTAGGTATTGTTTTATGATCTCAAAAATAGTTATATACTGATATACTTCTTAATTTGATAAGAAAGAATTTAGGAACTAAACAAGGTGCTTTGGCATCTGTAAAAAAAGCAAGTGCATTTCTGAGTAGGTGAAAAATAAGCATCTTTTTAATTCCAGAGTTAAGAGATTACGTAAATGTCGTTTATATGATAGCTTGTAGGACAGACAATGTCAAAATATTTCAGGAAACAATACACTTACCCTATTGTTTTGTTGTGCAGAAAAATGCGATCTCAACCCTTTAGTTGAAGCTTCAGGAGTTAGTTATGAATGGGGATGACCTGCCTGGTCCAGGATGGTTTCTAGCTTTGGGCTTGGATCTGCATGGTACCTAGTACTGAGACAAACTGGGGGCTGATCCTCTTCAAAGGGATTGGCATCCAGCTGACATCAACTAGTTATATATAGAATCAAACACTCCAGCCACTCATATCTTCCTGGCGAAAGAAGAGAACAGAAAAGATTCAACTGCACCCACAACAAAGAAAGTTTATATCTCTTCCAGAGTTTATAGGGAGATTTAATGGATTGCTCTCCTCATACTTGTGCAGGTCATCTCATCATCACCTCTGAGAATAACAATCTCCGTGTTATAACCAGAAAAGAGACATTTAAAAATAAGGTGTTAAATATATGGATGGACAAGACTATATGAGATGAGAATGGCATGGGCTAATCCTTTAGTGAAAGATGAAACCATGCTTCAGTAGTGGCTGATGGCTAAAGTTAGTGGCAGATGGCTGATATACAAAGTCTGTTCTTAAAAAGAAATGAGAAATTTTTCAGTATGATATGTGTTAGAGAATAACTTCACAGAAAATACGTGCTTCCCTAACTGTTCTTCCAAATCTCATAATTTTCTTTGTGAGTGGGAACAGAAACCTGTTATATTACACAAATATTACACAACAGCGAGTACCTCTGAGGAAGAAGGAAACAGTGGCAGAGGGAAACATTCCCCTATTACCCCTCTGTCTGAATTATGGGTCAGTAGAAGCTAGGGGAAGCAGTTTTTGTATTTCTGGTTTGGTTTTGGTTTTATTCTGGGAAGTTTCTTTTCTTGTGAAAGCTATCATTCTTGGAGGATTGAGCAGAAAACTGGTTGGATCCTGACAAGACAGGAGAATGGAGCAAATTGAATCTGTAGAGTAATAAAAAACACCGACACAATGTGCATAACTTTTCAAGGAAGAAGTGCTCTGAGACAAATACAGTGTAAAACACCTGATGTAAGATCCAAAAAGACTTTTTGAGGAAGACGTTCAACCAAAAGAAAATGCTGGGTAGCTTTCCTCCAGCTTTCTATTCCTGGGCCTAACTGTACGCAATATCTTTCTTAGACCCTAGACGTTTCTGTCCTAAGGAGAAGTTCTTTTTGATCCTCACTATCAGAATCTACCTGCTAGTGTTATTCATTAGTTAGTTAGTTACCAGGTAGTGTTATTCTTTCCCTGTTTTTTGTACTGTGGTCATGCACTTAAAACAGTACCAGCAAGCATGGTCAAAGTCTTGGTTGAATTTTACCCATTCAGCTGAAGGCCAAGATTGTTCTTGGCCTGTTTGTGTGAGGCCTCCAGCAAGTTCTCTTGCAAAGCCAAGGGAAGACTAGTGTAAGTACCCCAAGACTTTTAACATAAAAGTTAAATCCCCCTCCTCTTTCCCATAAAATAGGTTAATTAAAAAAGTATGCAATGAAGTTTTCATTTCCTGTTAGGTATTTGATAAGAAAAGTAAGTTGTAGAATATGAACAGGAAGTATAATGAGACTGAAGTGAAAAGGGAACGACTTAATGTATGTGAAGCATGGTACCACACCCTGTTTTAATCCAATGAAAATGTTGCTTTTTCTCATGCCCTGAAAACTTCAAGTAGGGGACTGAACCCCCAGAGGGCCTTTCCAACTTAAATCATTCTATGATTCTATGATTATGCAGCTCATGGGAAGCAATGAGGCTATATTTTCCCAAGATCACCAGAAGCTGGGCTGAGTTGATAAGGACCATAAAGATATATGTCATCACAGAATTTTTACAGAATTTTTACGTTCCATACTCACAAGAAAAATCAGTATTGTCTAAATGTCAGTTTTTCTTTTGGCACGAAGTGGAAAGCATTGTAAAGGAAACAGATTTAAAGACCTTTTCTTCCTCCAAATATAAATGACTATATCATCAGTTTCAAACAGGATAATAAGCTGGTGGGAAACTACCAATAGGAATTTATGAAATCAATTGAGTTTCTTTATTTGACCGCATTTGGCTGCTTATGAGAGAAGGGGTAAGCAGTAGCCATAAATATTTTGACTTTAATTTTTTGATGCCACATTTTCTTAAGCAAATAAAAGAAGAAACATTCTTTGAATTCCTACACAACTGGTTGGAAATTTGCGCTCTAGGAAAGAGTTCTCAGTGTTTCACCGCCAAACTGTCAAGTAGGATTGAACAAGGGTCTGTCGGGATTCACGCTACTCTGTATTTTCATTAATAACTTCAGTGATGAAGTAGAGAATGTCTATTAAATGCCAGCCTAGGAAAATTAAAAATCCTGCAGGACAGAATTTGAACTTCAAATTATCTTGATGAACTTGAAAAAAATCAGATGCCCTTTGATGATACAAAACTGGAAGGAGTGGCTGATACCCCAGAGGGCTGTGCTGCCATTCAGAGGGACCTGGACAGGCTGGAGAGTTGGGCGGAGAGGAACCTCCTGAAGTTCAACATAGGCAAGCGCAGGGTCCTGCCCCTGGGGAGGAATAACCCCAGGCACCAGTCCAGGTTGGGGACTGACCTGCTGGAAAGCAGTTCTGCAGAGAAGGACCTGGGAGTCCTGGTGAGCAAGGTAAACATGAGCCAGCAATGTGCCCTTGTGGCCAAGCAGGCCAATGGGATCCTGGGGTGCATGAGGCAGAGTGTTGCCAGGAGGTCAAGGCAGGTGATCCTGCCCCTCTCCTCAGCCCTGGTGAGGCCTCACCTGGAGTGCTGTGTCCGGTTCTGGGCTCCCCAGTCCAAGAGAGACATGGCACTCCTGGAGAGAGTCCAGCGGAGGGCTACCAAGTTGATGAGGGGACTGGAGCATCTCTCCTGTGAGAAAAGTCTGCGAGAGCTGGGCCTGTTTAGCCTGGAGAAGAGAAGACTGAGAGGTGATCTGATCAGTGTGTCCAAGTATCTGAAGGGAAGGTGTCGAGAGGATGAGGCCAGTCTCTTCTCCGTGGTGCCCAGCAACAGGACAAGAGGCATCAGGCACAAACAGCTAACACGGGAAGTCCTGTCTGAATAGGAGGAAAAACTTCTTGACTGTGAGGGTGACAGAGCACTGGCGCAGGTTGCCCAGAGAGGTGGTGGAGTCTCCTTTACTGGAGATATTCAAAAGCCGCCGGGACACGATCCTGTGCAGTGTGCTCTAGAGGACCCTGGTTGAGCAGGGAGGTTGGACTAGATGATCTCCAGAGGTCCCTTCCAACCTCATGCATTTTGATTCTGTGCCTCAGTAAGAGTGCATCTAAATGAAATTTAGAATAGTGATGTTGTAGAAAGAACCTCTTGGGCAATTTTTAAGAGCAGGTTAGCAAATGTCTGTCAACAGTAGTTCAGGATCCTGCCTCAGAGCATGGACATGAACTTGATGTCCTTTAGATTTCTCTTTCAGCCTTATTTTTTTATAGTTCATGTGAAAAGAAATACCCTCTAAATAGGAATAGTCACTATTTAACAATCCCACCAGTTCACCTCGTAAATTCATGTTGTACTTTCTGTTGGAAATGATATAGGAATTAGATTGTATCACTGCAGTTTTATTTCCACCATTTAGCAAATCCAGGAGCTCTTGTTGGCCTTCCAAAAAGGCACAGCCCTCACGGATTTCAATTACACGCATACGTTTTGTTTGTGTTTAAGGTTTTCATAAGCCTTGGGTTATATAGCCCGGAGCCACTTCTGATTTTGTTTGCGATCTTTTAGTATGTGAACAATGGAAGTATCACAAGAATATCTCATGTCCCATTTGGTGACCCTGAGGAAAAATTCTGAACGTAAACACTGAAGTGTTTGGAAATTCCATGAATTTCCTGTGGAATTTGTCTGCAAGTCTAAATATTAATGGCAATATTTGCAGTTCAGCAAAGTGCTTCTGATGAGAGTTTTAAGAATGTTTTTAGTACTTTTGTTGGTTTTGAAACAATTTTCAGTTTTTTCTGTTGACATTTAGTGAACTGTCTGACTTCAACAGCGTATTTTATTCCACAGAAAAAGCAACTTACACAGGACAGAATCACAGAATCACAGAATCGTTTAGGTTGGAAGGGACCTCTGGAGATCATCTAGTCCAACCTCCCTGTTCAAGCAGGGTCACCTAGAGCATATTGCCCAGGATCACATCCAGACGGCTTTTGAATATCTCCAGGGAAGGAGACTCCACCACCTCTCTGGGCAACCTGTTCCAATGCTCTGTCACCCTCACAGTGAAGAAGTTTTTCCTCAGGTTCAGATGGAACTTCCTGTGGTTCAGTTTCTGCCCGTTGCCTCTTGTCCTGTCGCTTTAAAAGCACACAGAACACCCTTTAGAGTTTAAGTACTTAGTTAAAACCTGTATTTATATGGATTTAATTAAAACTGGCCCATCAATACATTCCATCATAATTATGGACACGAATTATTTCTCCAAAAGCAACCTCTTCCTTACTCTGCCTCTCACGCTGCACTATGTAGAGAGAAGTGCTGGGGACCCAGGCTTTTCTGCGGTTTGGAACATTTTAACATTTACAGGTAATTCTGTGGGTGTCAGAAGACCAACAGCTCCTAGCCTAGTGATCGGCATTTATGACTGAGGGAATGCAGATATGGTCAGTCTAAATTTCAAGAAACTGTGAGGTAGGAAAAGGATGGAATTAGGTTCAGGACTTCAGACTGCCTTGTCCTGTGGACCTGATCAGATATTGAATGCTATCTGAGCGTAACTATTTTGACGAAATCTCGTTCTCACGGTGGCTTTCAGGAAGAGAGCGTTACCAAATGAGGTGCACTCTGTCCCTTCCTCCAGGTCATCGATGAATGCATTGAACAAGACTGGACCCAGGACTGACCCCTGGGGGACACCGCTAGCTACAGGCCTCCAACTAGACTCTGTGCCACTGACCACAACCCTCTGAGCTCGGCCATCCAGCCAGTTCTCAAGCCACCTCACCGTCCACTCATCTAGCCCACGCTTCCTGAGCTTACCCAGGAGGATGTGATGGGAGACAGTGTCAGAAGCCTTGCTGAAGTCCAGGGAGACAACATCCACTGCTCTCCCCTCCTCTACCCAGCCAGTCATCCCATCAGAGAAGGCTATCAGATTGGTCAAGCGTGCTTTCCTCCCTTTGGTGAAT